GGTCGCCGTACTGCTGGCCTGCAGGCGAGCCGAGCTCTTACCTGAGCTGTGCAGGAGTGAATACTTGATCACGGCAGGGTCGCTATTTAAGGAGCCCCGTGCCTTTTGCTGGAAGCTTCCCTCTAGCTTTGTGCTCCACACAGGAGTGCCCCCGGCTGTGTTCCCGCTCCTGGCAGGGGGTGGCCCTGCCCGCAACAGGACGTGTAAAAGGGACAGCAGCCATCGCAGCAGCTATGTTTGCCTTGTGCCTTTCTGTGTTTTTGTCTGCCATGAACTCGTGCTGAGCAGCTGCGGTGTGTGCCCTTCTCTAGCCTCACCCCTCGCTTTGGCCAAGAGCTGCTGGCCCGAGAGCAGACCTTCCTCTGCGTGGCGCTCCGTCTGTACACCCAGCTGCTGCGGCTCTTTGCGGAAGGGACAGACCTGCTGCAGGCTGACCAAACGGGGCACAGCCCTGACCCCACACAGCACGTGAGTGAACTCAGTCTCTCTCTTTTTCTCTCCTATAACCCTGAATCCTATTCTTTATCCCTTTGCCCTGCCACTGGCACCATCCCTCTGGTTCCCACCTTCCTGTACAAAGCAGGGGGAGCTGGTGCTGCTGCCTGAAACTGAAGCCACCCCCCTGCTGTCTCGTACAGGACCTCAGGGTGACTGTAGTCCCTGATCCAGGGACCTGCCTGACCTGGGGATAGCCTCCTGCGTGGTGCAGTGGTTCCTGTCTCACTGCTGGAGGCAGGGACCGAGAGGTGACAGTGCCATTGTGCCCCTTCTCCTTGTTCCCCAGGGCGATCCCTTGGAGGTGATCTCCACGGCCCGGCGGTTCCTGCTCGGTGCTATCCCACGATGCCCTGCCCAGAGCTTTGGAATGATACAACCGGTGCGTTGAGGGGTTTTCTTCCTCTTCTCCCAGTGTGTGAGAGCTGGGAGCACTGCTGCCTGCACAGCCTTTCTTGGGCACTGATCCTGTGTGGGTGCTGCCGGCTAAACCTGTGCCACATGCAGCGTGTCTGTAACGCGTTCGGGAGGCGGAGGACACCTGGTGCTCAGTCACTGCCATAGCTGTGTCCTCCCTCTGCTGGGCTGCGTCTTTCCCCACAGCATTAGACCCTTGCCTTGTCTCACTGAACGCTCCGTCTTGGGGGAAATATCACGCCCAGCCAGGTGTCGAAGTTTCCCACAAGCACTGGGGTGTCAGAAGTGTTATTTCTGTGCGAGTTGGCACCAGCTTCCCTCTGCCTCTGCGTTGCTGAGCCGCAGCAGAACGCTCTGCTGTTGCTTTGACTCGCTTGGAGCAGCACAAGCGGGTCTAACCCCAGCGGCTTCCCCTCTCCCCAGCTCCTGGCTGCCTGCGAAGAACTTGACCCCGAGCTGGGAGCTGCCCTCCTGCACTTCTCGCGGCCCGCTGCGGCCATGGAGCTGGACGAGGAGCCGCTCCTGTTCTGAGCGACAGGCAGGGCCCCGGCCCAGCACTGTGAGCAGAACCCCCTCCCTGCAGCTGGAGGGATAGACACGCTGCCACCTTTCTCACTAGCGTTGTTTTTTTTCAAATTACTTTGTAAATAATTTATTACAAGCATAACGATGAAGCTTTTGTTACAATAAAAAGTAGGTTACAAATCTCAGTTTAGACTTGCTTTGGGAATCAATTTTTTTTTTCTTTTCAATGTCTGCTTGAAGATTTTCCGCTGTCCTCTGTACCCTTACAGCCCCCGAGGGCACCCTGTACAGGCAGCAGGGACCAGCTGTGGCCAACTCTTTGTACAACTGTGCGTGTGGGGAGAGGGGGGAGCACGGAGGGGTGCTGCTCCCCACCCCGTCCCCGGGGTTAGACAGACTCTTAGTACAACACTGCTGAACTGGACGTGAGCATGGAGAATCACAGCATGATACGAGCTTTTGCTGAGCAAGCTGAAGCTAATTCCACCGAGTTCTTTGGGAGACTACAATGTAGATTAAAAAAAGTCTCCACTCTGCCATGTGGTTTCTACAGGGACAGCGTCCCCATCCCCCTCAGGTGGGCTCCTGCTGCGCAGTCACTTCGGGCTTCACCGCCTGGCCTTCCGCAGTCCCTGAAGTGTTGAGGGGGCGAAGGGGCTCTGGCTCCAGCGGCTTGGGTTTGACCTGAGTCTGGATCAGAGGGTGCACCATGGACATGTGGACGTTAAGGTTATGGGCCTTCTCGAAGCGCTTCCCGCACTGGTCGCAGGCAAACTCCAGCTCTGTCTCCGCTTTGTGTTTGGTCATGTGGTACTTGAGCGACGCGCGCTGCCGGCACTGGAATCCGCAGATTTCACACCTGCAACACAAAGCGGGGGCTCAGCACCCACCCCTGGGCCCTTCCCTTGTTGTCACACTGAAAAAACCCCCAAGAAGACGACCCCAGCCTCAGAGCTGCTCGCTCAAAGCATCTCCTACACCCACCCCCATCACAAACAGGATTTTCCTGGTCACACAACGCAATTCTCCTCCCCAGTGGGCGGCTGAGCATCCACCCACTGAACGCCACAGGGCAACAGAATGAGGAGGAGGCGTGAGATGTACTTGGCCACGGATGAACATTTAAAGAATGACTCCGCACTAAGGACAATGACTGCAAGAGCTCAGCAGAAACTCGCCGTGCCTTCTGTCCCTCCCCTGAGCTATGAGCGGTGGGTCAGGGTGCACTTACTGCAGGGGCTTTGCTCCCGAGTGCCGCATCTGATGGACCGAGAGGTGTTTGCGTTGCTTAAAGGTCTGCCCGCATTCATCACAGATATAATTTCGTACCTCTGCAATGGAGAAACAGAGAGAGTCATGGATTCTGCTGGTGCCTGAGTACATGAAATGCATCCACGCAGCTGCCCGTGCTTACTGGGGGGCTCTAAATCCCTCCCCTTGCTTCACAGCCCCCACCTGGGGGGTTGTTACGTGTTTACAGGCGAGGCCGAGACAGTTCCACAGCCCACGAGTCCTCCCGTGGCACCCACGAGCCTTGCCCGAGGAGCGGCTGGGTGTTTGCACCCCGCGGAGCCCCCCGGACCCACCTGTGTGGATGAGTTTCACGTGCCGCTGCAGGTACCGGTCGATCATGAACACCTTGTTGCAGCCGGGATGAGGACAGGGCCTCTCCCGCACCTCTTCATGATGCTCTTTGATGTGTTTCTGCACAGAAAGGACAGAGCTGCTCACTGCTGGGTGGCCTTTTCCCCCGGGAAAAACCCCGATCCCCCCTAACGAGGCCCGCAGCGTGGCAGGCTTGTGCTTCAGCGCTGCTCCACCGCAAAAAACCAGCAACCTGCCCCCCATCTGCCCCTGGCAGCAGGGCTCCAGCGGCACACGGCCGAGCCAGCGGCAGCCTTCCTGCGCGGGAGGAGCGCACAGAGCCAGAGCAGCTCCCGGCGCGTTTGGGAGCACAGAGAAAGGCCCCCGACTCTTGGACTGCTTCATTTAGTGGCTCGCAGCCTCCTGCAGAGCCAGGTGGTGGATTAAATCTGTCAGGGATCCTCTTCTCACGTGGGAACTGCTCTGTGATGCTCACAGCTACAGATTTGAGACAGGAGCAAACCCCGAACTCACCTTCATGCCGTCCGCCCCCCTGTAGACGGCCGTGCAGCCCTGGTAAGGACACTTGTAAATGGTGGGCAGCTCCTCCCTGCAAAGCAGAGCGCTGCTGTCAGCCAGCGGGCGTGCTGCCCGCCTGCCGCCCGCTCCTCGGTACCTTTCACATTTGATTTTTTTTTTCCAGCCTGGCTTTGGCCCTGGCTTCTTCCTTATTTTGGGCTCTTCTGCCTTCTTGGCTTCTTTGCCGTCGCTTTTCTTGCTAGAAACCCTCCACGAAGGAACAAGGAGGAAGGACGATGGGTTAATCCTTGGTTTCAGTCCTCCCACGTAATCCGTAATTGTCCCCGAGCATCACACCTGGCCTGGCCTGACTGGGCACAGCGGGAGCACATGCACTTACCTCTTTTCGGGGTAAGGCTCGAAGGAGTCGTCTGAGGATTGCACGTTTCTCTTCTCGTTTTCGTCGTCACTCAAAAACTCCCTGCAAGAGAGAGGAGACGCCCTTTACCGCCACAGCACCGCGTGTTCCTCGTCCCCCCTGTGGCACGGCAGCCGAGGCTCCACGTGTTCTCCTCCCCCGTAATCTCCCCCAAACAGCAAACCCAGGTCCTGCTCGGACCAGATCTCTGTCAGGATAACTGAGCTGCTGTCAGGAGAACAAACGGCTGCTACTGAAAACATCCATTCACTGGTGAGGGATGTTCCCACTGCTTTCCATACTGGGAAAGTTAATTTTTTAGAGCAAGAATGGGATATAATTGAATGGTGGGGGTTCACTAAGCTGCAGGGCATTCTGTATGTCCTCACATGCAGCAGCCACAGAGGTTTGTTTTTTTTTTTTTTTCCCTTTTAAGTCCTAAGTTATACAAGAAGCAATTAATTCTGAAGCCGGGAAGCAGGCAATACATTGTGGCACTTCCAGTGTGACAGCTGACAGAGAGAGCTGACGCTGAAATAAGTCTGTGCTCAGCCACCAGGTCCCGCAGCCTCCGAATGACTCACTCAGCTCTTGGTTATTCACAGCCTCACGTTAAACACCTGCGCTCAAAGGATTTACCCAAATCTTTAATCACAAAGACTGCTGAGCTGCCAGCATCGCTCCCACTCCCGCTTCCCGTTTAATCGCTCTCCCCGGGAGCTAACGGGGTGATTTGTCCGGGTGCCGCCCCTTCCCTGCGTTCCCCCGCCGCTCTTCTGGAGCCCGAGCGCGGAGCAGCCGTGGAAGGGAATCGCCCCGGGGCGGGGGGCTGGAGCAGCGGCACCGAGCGAGCCCCCACCACCCCTGCACGGCTCCTTCCCGGGAGCAGAGGGCGAAAAAACAGGAACTGGGTTTGCTGGAAGCAGCTGGCAAACCCCGAGAGCACACGTGTGTGCAAACCCCCCTGCGGGAGCTCAGCACATCGGCGGCGTGAGCTTCGTCAAGGCCGCGGCAGAGCCCCACCCTGCACCTCGGCCTCGAGGAGCGGGTCCCTCGCGGAGACAGAGCTCCCCGAGGTGGGCAGTTCACGCTCGCAAAGAAGACATTTAGGCTGTTTTAAACCCACTCTGCTCTCACCCCTCAGAAAGGTCACTGAACTCGTCTTTTACCCGCTCATCCGACGCTGCCGCCAGAACCTGCTGCCCGCTCAACTGTCCTAGGGAATGAAGAAGAACACGGTGCGTTAGGAGGAAACACGGCACAAAGCAGCCAGCGGGGAGCCAGGAGGAGGAACCGACCGCTCCGGGATCGCTTGTG